CTGTGGGCCGGATGCGGCCCAATCGCCTTCTCAATCCGTCCGCGGACGGTCTGGGAATCAGCATGTTTTTACATGAGTAGAATGTGTGCTTTTATTTAAAATGCATCTCTGGGTTATTTGTGGGGTCTGCCTCGTGTTTTTACATGAGTAGAATGTGTGCTTTTATTTAAAATGCATCTCTGAGTTATTTGTGGGGCATAGGAATTTGTTCATTCCCCTCCCCCCGAAATATAGTCCAGCCCACCACATGGTCTGAGGGATGGTGGACCAGCCCACGGTTGAAAAAGGTTGCTGACCCCTGCTGTAAGAGATGTGTCAAGCACTGTTGGACAAGCATGATGGGGCTGTGTGACTGGCTCTATAGCAGCAGCACTACTGCTGTCCACAGAGCCACTGTCTTGGATCTTGCTGCTACTGGCACTGCTGCTGCTCTTGTGGTGCAGGCAGGAGACCGGCCAGCTGACGCCGTACATGGCGGGTGTGATCCGCACCACCCCCCATGCCTGCACTCCCAGCATGGCCCATCCTGGTGTCCCTCTTTGTGAGCGTTCGTTCCTCCAATGCCTGGGAAAGGAATGCTGGACAATGTTGGGGGCACCTGTGTGGGGCTGCCTGCTTCACACCCCTTCAAAAATTCATGCCCAGGACCATGGCCTCTATGGAAGCCCCCACACTGCATCCCTGCTTTCACCCTGACCACTGTTGGATTCAGCCCCACCACCAGATGCATGTGGCGCATGGCAAATTACCACTAAGAGCGGCTTTGAGGGACCAGGCCAGCCCACAGCCACAGCAGCCAGAAGAGACAGGAATCCCTGCAATAGGAAGACGCCACAGCCCATTTGCTCCAGTTGGATATCTTGAATTTAGCCTGCCTGCACAATTGGGTCAAGGGTGGGCAGGCCTGTGGTGGGCTCCCTCCTAACGGGTGGGTCTGACTGGGTCCAACAAGGACTCCATTCAGGTCTGCTCCCCAGGGATAAAAACAAACACACCTCACACATGGCACCGCAAGAAAGCAATGTTTCCATGACAACATCATGGGCAGACCCATCTTTGAATGCCACTGTGTTTAATGTGGTGAACAAGTAGGAAGAGATTGAAAACTCGGGCCCTGTTTCCATTGGGGAACCTCCCCCCCCCCAAAAAAAAAAATCCCTCTACATTTCCCTTGAATAGCCACATTTCCTTTAATTCTGGATAAAATGACAGAGAGCTACACTAATGGTCCTAAATATGTGACGAAAAGGGACTGTTAATGTAGGAGCTTTGAAGGAATCCAGACTGCTGATGTGCTAGTGTGGCTGAGTACTGGTGAAGTACTGAAGAACCAGCAGAAAAGTTGCTCTCTTACTTGAGTGATGAGGATGGGGCTTTGACATGGTCAACCCCTAAATACCACCAGTGTGTCAGCGAGGCAGAGCAACAATTGAGCCATAAATTGTAAAGATATACAATCCAGAGAAACACATATAGAGGCGGGGGAAATAGTGCATGTCAGTGCCATGTAGAGTTTATGTTTTCCAGTTCTAACTCTTTACCAGCCAAGTCTTTTTAAAATAGAAGGCCAAGCCAAGAACACCAGGAGACATTCTAATTGTGCATGTTATTTTGAAACTGGCTGGGGTTGCCTTGTGCTTATTTGTCTTTTGGCATGAACTTAACAGCAAAATTATGTTTCCAGGCATGCACTTAGGCCACATCAAACTGTTCTTCATCTTTGGACAGCTTTAGCATTGCAGCCCAAATTAATTAATTAACTTGTGTTCCTTAGTTTAACTCATTCTCATTGTCTTTGTCCCATTATTCCCAAGTGCAGGAGCAAATTAACATTTCCATTTTTCTCAACCCACACACCCTTCCTCTACTCTGAGGCTTTTTCTTTTCTTTGCCTTGTTGCAATTTGTGAATTTTTTTAATTAAAAAAATAGAAAATTCAAAGGGAATGTTAATTATCCCATGTTTCACTTTTCTGTTTAATACATAGTCATCTCATTACTTGATATGGGACTCATGCCTTTAGGAGCAGAAACAGACAGTTTTCATCTTATTCTTTCAGGTTTTCCTCCTCAGCAACAGCAAATAAAAAGAAAAAAGAAAAAGAAACGCATGTGGGTTTGGGATTCTGATATAAACTTTTCCTATGGATTCCTCCATGTAGGGAAAGTGTTAAGTCAGATTTGGCTCTAAGTGTGCTAAAAAGAAAAACAGGTGATGCATTTAGATAACCTACTGAAAGAAGCAGTAGGGCAAACAGAGCTAGGAAAGAAGATAATATGCATCCATGCTGCCATCTAGTGATTATAAAAGTACGAATAAGTTTTTTGACACATGCAATATTATGCTGCGCCATACCTATGACATTGCTGTTTCAATTAATAATAATAATAATAATAATAATAATAATAATAATAATAATAATAATAAATTTATTTATATCCCGCCCTCCCCAGCTGAAGCTGGGCTCAGGGCGGCTAACAACAATAAAATAATACAACATTCTAAAATCATTTCATTATAAAATTAATTCAAATCAAATTGATGGCAACCATTGGGCTAGAGTTCTGTGAAGATTGCCAAAGGAGGGAGTCAGGCTGTACCTTGGCCAAAGGCCTGGTGGAACAGCTCTGTCTTGCAGGCCCTGCAGAAAGATGTCAAGTCCCGCAGGGCCCTAGTCTCTTGTGACAGAGCGTTCCACCAGATCGGAGCCACAGCCGAAAAAGCCCTGGCTCTAGTTGAGGCCAGCCTAACCTCTCTGTGGCCTGGGACCTCCAAGATGTTTTTGTTTGAAGACCGTAAGGTCCTCCGTGGGACATACCAGGAGAGGTGACCCCTTAGGTACGAGGGTCCTAGGCCATATAGGGCTTTAAAGGTTAAAACCAGCACCTTAAACCTGATCCTGTACTCCACCGGGAGCCAGTGCAGCTGGTATAGCACATCCTTGATATGGCTCCAGCATTTTTTTTATTTATTTAAGCACTGAACTTTCCAGTTGTATCTCATAATTTTCTTTTCAGATGTAGCTCTTCCAAACAAATCTTTTGCTGCATTCCCACCTCCCGATAAATATCTGTAGATTTCTGAAGGCTGCTTTGTATATGAACATATAAATGAGGCCTCCAGGTGGGTGATAATTCTGGGTCGGTCTTCTTCTTCATGTGTACAAGGTTCTTTTTTGCAGTGTCCCCACAACATTGTTGTCATCAGAATGCCGTTTCCTATTCCCGCCCCCAATTTTATTCAGATTTACCCTTTCCAGGGGAAATCCAAATACAGTTTTTAAGACTCACCTGTGATATCTCGGTGAAGCATTTGCATCTCTCATCTGGAAGCACCTGAACAGATTCAGGTCTCTCGCATGGAATTTCAAACTTGTTATGGGACTCACCCTGCTACGCTGCAGGGTAAAGTGACCTATTTCAGGTAGAACCATGTGAGAGAGTTCAATGAAAGCTGGATTTTAAAAGCAGAAAACAACTAGCACTTTTGTCACCAGCTATAAACATTCTTTGCCAACAAAGATCTGTATAGTAAAAGCTATGGTTTTCCCAGTAGTGATGTATGGAAGTGAGAGCTGGACCATCAAGAAGGCTGATCGCTGAAGAATTGATGCTTTTGAATTATGGTGCTGGAGGAGACTCTTGAGAGTCCATTGGACTGCAAGAAGATCAAACGTATCCATTCTGAAGGAAATCAGCCCTGAGTGCTCACTGGAAGGACAGATCGTGAAGCTGAGGCTCCCAATACTTTGGTCACCTCATGAGAAGAGAAAACTCCCTGGAAAAGACCCTGATGTTGGGAAAGATAGAGGGCACAAGGAGAAGGGGACGGCAGAGGACGAGATGGTTGGACAGTGTTCTCGAAGCTACCAACATGAGTTTGACGAAACTGTGGGAGGCAGTGGAAGACAGAAGTGCCTGGCGTGTTCTGGTCCATGGGGTCGCGAAGAGTCGGACACGACTAAACGACTAAACAACAACAACAACATAAACATAAACATTCTTAAGGCAAAACTTCTGCTTCAGTTGCTTGCCATTTGTACTTGCCATGCCTTGTTTGCATTCTTACTGTTTTCTTTACTAACTGCTTTCAAACATTCACTGATCAATTCCCAACACTACAGTCTAGGTTCAGGCCCATACAATTTGTCTAAATTTTGTAGAGATGAGTAAACAATTTCAGATTGGAGAAACATAAATGTTGGCAGTATTTTGCTATTATTACTCTGGGGCAGACATGGAATGTCTGTGCCCTGCATGTTCTTCCTTTCACAGAAGGAGCAAGAAAAGAACGTTTGTGCATTTTTGTTACCACTGGTAAGACCTTCGCAGTGGTGGCTTCTATCCTGTGGTATTCCCTTCCAAAAAATATGCAGCTAGCTTCTGATTTTAAAGAAAGTTTTACAAGCCTATCTATTTTTGCAGGCTTTTCATTGCATGTTCTGCTGCTATGGTTTATGGCATTTTGAAGTGTTTTTGGCCAAGCCTTGTCCAATCAATTCATTCTTTTATGATATTTAGCAATATCATTCAGTTCCTATCAGCCCTAACAAGCAATAGTCAGGGGTGATGCAAATGGTACTTCAACAACATTTGGATGGCCAAAAGCTCTGAACACCTAGTGAATTGTGCACGTTTCTTGAAAACCACCTTGTGTAATATGTAAGGTGTCAGCCATTTTTTTAAAACGATGGCATAGTGTTTTAGACACAAGCTATATTTGAGAGAGATCAGTAAGAAATTGGTGTGATGTCTTTACACTGGATATTATTATTATTATTACTACTTCATATGTCAAGCTTTTCCATGTTTGTAAAAATTAGGCTATAAAATTCAGTTTATGATTTCTTAAATGACATGAAGCAGCTGATAAAGACATGAAGAGATGTAAGAAATTCTGAGGAGCAAAAAGTTTTGTAGTGTTTTTAAAATTTCACCTTACCAAATGTTTCCCACAAGAGTTTACAGAAAACCTAATTTCCCTATGTTTTTCTCCCTTAGGAGATGCCCTATGCCTTTCTCCATATGAGATTCACACTGAATTATCTGGACAAAATGAGATGCTTGAGAAAGCGATCTGCAGTTTCCTTCCTAGGAGTCCTTGTCATCTGCTTGTTGTTCATGAACTTATACATTGAAGATAGCTATGTCTTGGTAAGTTTGGTGTATGGAACAAACTACCCTTTAAAACTATTGGATAACAAAAATAAATACAGGTATGTGAGGGTGGGCATTGTCCACTCCCGTGAATCATAAAATGTACGATAGCTTGTCCAAAGGGATTGTTGAACTGTCTGTGGACTGTGAGACAGAGTGAACAATTACTTATTTGCTGAAGAGATGGGTCTGAAAGCAATGATAGCATTGCCTGTTGGAGCCTTCTCTTCATTTATGCATGATTTATTGAGCAAATGTGAAGCCCTGAAACATCAGCCATGCTGCACATCTTGAGTTCAGAAAAAGATGGAATCTGCCCAAAGCCCTAGCAATGTTGGCCATGGGAAAGGGGTAGAAGGTTTCAGGATACTGGATGCTGAAGCTGCAAACATACAGTTCTGGTTTGTCTTCAGCTGGAGTCATTTAGAATCCTTCAGCCACTTCCTAAGTGTGTGTGTTTTTATTGGGGGGAGAACAAACAGCCATGTTGGCTCTGGCCAAAGGTCCATCTATTCTCTTTCCAATGGCAACCAGCCAGCTGCTTCTGGAAACCCACAAAAAAGAGACAGTATGAAATGGATGGTCTGTGGTTTGTCCTCCACATTTGCCCACCCAAGATGACTTTGAAGGGAGGATTCTCCCAACTTAGAAGAACTGGGCAAAGTAAATAAATTGTTTTTCCAATTGATTACAAAATTCCTTGCTATTAAAACACCACAGAAAGGATTCGCTTTTGTATATGGCTGTTCAGGCTTCAGCCAGCAAGGCATTTCCAAGTAAGAGAACCCAACATTTGGTCCTTTTTATTATTTGTATTCTGCTCAGCTTTTGATATATGGCTTCTTTTTGTGGCACCATCTGCATTAAGATTGTAGGCTGGATTTTATTTATTAACAACCCCTAACTTGTGATTAGATGTGATGTGGCTTATACCATATTTTCTGTCAATCTGGCTGATGCCTCCTTTGGTTTGCTAATTGCTTCAAAATCCCACAGTTACATATCTGGGATTTTTTTATTTATTGTGGTTTATGCTGTTTCTGTTTTGCTTGTCTTTAGATCTTTTTGTGAACTTCCCAGATGGCATGATGTATTGTGCTTTATTTGACTTCTTTATAATAAACTGTGCTTTCCCTCCATTGTATCTTTCAAAACAAATTTGGCACATCTCATTGCTGAGCCTCTGCTCTGTTTGTCTAGTTCTTTCGAGATTTTATGGTTCATTCAGTGTCTGAGATTAGACATAATGAGAAGTAATGCTTTGTACTCACCATAGTTAAGTTCACACATCATGGTCTGAACTTTCAGACAAGCTATGATCTAGAGACACTTTGTGGTTTTTGTTAATATATATATGGTACAACTTAAGACCATGGTTGCAGATCCTGCATTATCAGTGCCAAACAAACCACAGCTTGCGAGTAGACTGAAGCTCAAATGTTAAAACAAACCACAGTTTAGCTAAACAGACCATGGTTTCATGTTACATCTGAGTTTATCCTATATATTAGGGTGTTGGAACTTGTCACTTTTGTTGTTGTTCTTCTTCCTGGACTATCTGATATATTTTATGTGTCCCTCATAATAAGAAAGACTAATGAGAAAGCGACATACATTTTTGAGAGCTTCCTTTCTCATAAATTCAAATTCATGAGAAAAAGAATTATACAGATTCCATGGATCAGTTAAATCCTTAGCTCTCTGAATACTCATGTCAAGGTGGTGGGAGCAATGATAAAGCTGCTCAGTTATCCAAGGGGGAAATGGTAAGATAAGAATGCCAGGGAAGATTATATGTGGGATGGTGTCAGGGGTTGGCACGGTTGGGTCATTGCCAAGGCACATTGTCCAGGAATGACCCCTCAACCTAGAGTCTTCTGTTGCTCCACCTCCTTGGTGTTGCTACCTTTTCACCTACCCTCTCTAAATAAATAAAAAGTTTGAGGTGAAGGAGAAGTATTTTCTGTATGCCTTGCCCTCTCCCTCTGGGAGGTGGCATGGATTCATTCCTAGGGGGAGAGAAAAGCCAATGGGCACAGTGTTGGCATGTTCCTGCCTGAGACATAACAACATATAGTGCCCAAGTCATGGAGCATAGTATTCAAAGCCAGCTAGGTTATTTTGGCACCTGAGGCAGAATATCCCTCTCTGTACCAACAACAACAATGTTGGCTGCCATTTCATGACAGCCAAAATCTGCTGGCTAATGCAGTCACTTCTGTCTTCCTAATGGCAGGGCTGGTTCTCAATGGGCAGAGGCAACACTGCTGCCAAAGTCAATGTAAAATCTGAAACCAGCACTGTCCCCTCCAAAAAAAAAGAGGAATTTTGAAGCTTTTTCAAAAGTATTATACAACAAATAGAGACATAGAGCTTTTTGGGTTTCCATGCCTTATTCAGAATGCATTCCATGTGTCTAGTAGTCTGCCTTAACCAACACTGCCTAAAATGTGCATTGAGGTTGCCATGGAAAAAAGAAGGAAAATCAACATTTCAATGCAGAACCTCCTTTGAGATGCTACAGCCAAGCGGTTTTCACATCTCTTGAGAGAGATGGCTACAATATACATACATGAAGCATGGCTTTGAGGTGTATTGAAGAAGACACTTGCACGGGAGGTAGTTCTGAAATGTACAGCAGTAGCTTTCCTACAGTCTGGAAACACATTGTGTTCTTGTTTCAAAGGTTTGTTTTGGATCTGTACTTCATGGGCAGAACTCATGTTCCATGGGAAAATAATTCTAATATATAATATCATTATATTCAAATAAAAATGGGAAAGTTATTAATCTCCCCGGACATCTTAAACAACATCAATGTTTAACAAGCTGTCTATCTATCTGACTGTCAATGGAATTTAATTCTGCTCCCCCCTCCCCCCCAAAAAATATTGTTATCTTTTCTTAACTTTTGGATGATCTTATATCTCAGCTTGATAAGCAGAGATACAAATTAACCTTCTGACTGTGTATTCAGCACAGCCCCTTTATTCTTCCTTGGTTTTAGCCAACCTCTAATTAACCAATGTTTCCTATTTCATCCAAATGAGGACAGTATAGTTAACAACTTTTCAACAAGCCAGGATGTTAAACTCTGCTATGAGGTTGACTGAACATCCTAACTTGCTCTGAAGCTATTAATCATTGCTTCTGAATTTGGAAGAAATGGGGAAATGTAGTTAATTGGAAGCCTTCCCAAATTGTTTGCCAAAAAATAATAAAGTGACTGAAATAAAAAAAATGTATTGATATTTCAGTTTAATAAACCAATATATGATTATCCAAACACATACATTGTGTTCCTGATCCACATCCTGTACATTAACCCTCCAGTTTAGCAAGTAATATATGCACATATTGACAGTGCAGATTCAGAATCACATATCTGAATACATTTCTCTATCCCCTATCAAGTTGGATGTATACTGTTTTTGATGCAAATGATAATGCTTGATTCTACCTGAAACCACCTGCACATGCTTATAACCAGGCTAATAGGGACTAATCTACATATATTTGCAGTGTAAGGATGTGTTTTCGTCCCTAAACCCTCCCCATTCCTCACACTAGCTTCTGAATTGTGAATGTCTTGCTTTTTTCTGTTTCTCTACCAACTGCTAGGATGGAGACAAACAGTTAATCAGAGAAACAGCCACACATCAATTAAACTCAGAGCGATACGTTCACACATTTAAAGATCTGTCCAATTTCTCAGGATCAATAAATGTTTCCTACCGCTATCTGGCTGGCACACCTTTGCTAAGAAAAAGTAAGTATCTGAACATTTCGATTTCATTAAGTAAAGCAAGATTTTTATCTGACCTAATTGCAGCAAGCAGAGAAAAAACTGCAAGTTGGATGTTGCTCCTTAGTAGAGTTGGGAGAAAGAAGCTTTAACTCAGTATTCAATTGATAAACTTTACTTTCCCACAGAATGTGTGTGTCATATGTGCCGAGTGCATGAACACGAAAAGGAAGAGGCCTTCATAACCCCCTAAGTTGTGGCACAGTTTTAGGAAGGGCATAGAATTGGTACTTAGGTGGCATTAGTGATGAGCAAATATGTCAATTTCAGTTTCTCATTTTTCCTTTAGGTCAGTTCTCCACATGTCTACACCAGTTTGTGATTTATTTATTTTTAAACACCTCATGAGAAATTAATTCAACATTTGTTTGATGTGAATTTCTCTTACTATGCACATTTTATATGCATTTTTCCATAATATACATTTTTCCATAATATACATTTTTGCAAAGTGCTTTTTCCCTAATGTGATGTGTTTTTGTACATTATTTTCACTAATATATGTATCTATATGCACACTTTACCATTGTATTTATATTTTTGTACACGCTACATGGTGTGAGAACTGCATTGCAAAATTCAGAGCAGCACAATTTCAAAGGATAGCTGTGTTCTGGTTCACACGTTGTTTCAGAAAATGCCTGGTTTTTTTAGTCTTTGAATACCCATACAAAATGAATATGGATCAATTTTCTCCGACCAACCCAAAATCTATTTTTAAGCTATTTTTAAAATCTATTTATCTAGCTATGGTTCAGGATATTTCAGGAGCATTGAGTTAAACAGTGAAGACTTCAGCAGAGCTTAATTCTCCCACTGACACCAATACAATTTAAAATGCATGAGTATGACTGGATCAGAGTCCTTGCTTTATTTCCTTTTTAAGTACAAAAGGGGGAGGGGAGACATTAATTTGCCATTTATTCCCTAATGGATGGAATTGTAAACAGTTTGTGAGCCATAACTTTAAAATTCCCATTCCCCAAACAGAGTGTATAGCATTAATATTGCAAATATATTGTTTTCCTGCCAGCATCTTTGTACACATGCCTCCTGGCTTTTTAGTTCACATCTCACACTACTTCCTGCAGTTAACAACTGATGTTTAATGCAATAGCCTCTATGTGCTCCCAAATACATCTTTCTGGAGAAAAGGTATCAAGATTAGCCAATATATATTATCCTTAAAGCAATCAAAAATCTTCACAATTATATGCATTCAGGAGAGCTTTTACTTTGTAAAAAAAACTCTCCCACCCACCCACCAGACACACAAAACTAGGTAGTTTCAAAAGCCATTTATGATGTGATATTGGGGTGGGATCTGCTATCTAAAAGGGGGGGAAGGCAAAAGGCCTGCTGGCCATATATTTCCCATGGCCTTTGTGAATCAGGTAACTTATTTTGAATAAAACAGCAACTCTGCTTTTATCTTGTAGAGATAAAAGGTGAGACCAGTCATGAGGGCTATGCTCTGTCTCCACAGCTGGAGGAAGTAATGATTCTGAATACCAGCTGTTGGAAACCATAAGAGGAGAGGGTGCTGTTGTGCTTGGGGCCTGCTTGTAGGTTTCCCACAGGCAGCTGGTGGGACACTTTGAAAACAGAATGCTGGACTAGATGGGCTATCAGCCTGATCCAGTAGGCTCTTCTTTATGCTCCCATGTTCTGACAATATTTGTAGTCTCTATTTATTATTATTATTATTATTATTATTATTATTATTATTATTATTATTAATTTGCTTCTCCTTTTCAGGATATCTTACTATTGGACTGTCCTCTGTCAAAAGGAAAAAGGGGAATTATTTGCTGGAGACAATCAAGTCCATCTTTGAGCAGTCAAGTTATGAAGAGCTGAAGGAAATTGCAGTAGTGGTCCACCTGGCAGAGTTTGATTCATCCTGGTGTGATGGGATGGTTCAGGATATTTCACAGAAATTTGCCCATCATGTGATTGCTGGGAGATTAATGGTGATCCATACGCCTGAAGAATACTATCCTGTATTGGATGGCCTTAAGAGAAATTATAATGACCCAGAGGACCGAGTGAAATTTCGTTCCAAGCAAAATGTAGATTATGCTTTCTTGCTTAACTTTTGTGCTAACCTTTCTGATTATTATGTGATGCTAGAAGATGATGTTCGGTGTGCAAAAAACTTCTTGACTGTTGTTAAGAAAGTCATAACCTCACGAGAAGGAACATACTGGGTGACGTTAGAATTTTCAAAGTTGGGCTACATTGGGAAGTTGTACCATTCCCATGATCTCCCTCGCCTGGCTCATTTCTTGCTGATGTTCTACCAGGAAATGCCTTGTGACTGGCTGCTGATACATTTCCGTGGACTGTTGGCTCAAAAGGATGTGATACGTTTCAAACCATCTCTCTTCCAGCATATGGGATATTATTCATCCTACAAGGGTGCTGAGAATAAATTGAAAGATGATGACTTTGAAGAGGATTCATTTGACCTTCCTGATAACCCACCTGCCAACCTGCACACTAACATGAATGTATTTGAAAACTACGAGGCAAGCAAGGCATATAGTAGTGTCGACGAGTACTTCTGGGGCAAAGCTCCCTCGACTGGAGATTTCTATATGATCGTCTTTGAAAAACCTATTAAAATTAGCAGAATTAAAGTTGTCACTGGGACAGAAGACCGGCAAAATGATATCTTGCATCATGGGGCTCTGGAAGTTGGGGAAAAAATTGTTGGTGGCAAAAAAGGGAGGCAATGTACTACTTTCTTGCGGCTAGGGGAGTTTAAAAACGGAAACTTTGAAATTACAAATGTGGAGCACAAAGTTCTTTTTGATATTAACTGTATGAGAATACTTGTTACCAAAAGCCAAAAGGAATGGTTGATCATTCGGAGCATTAGCATATGGACTTCACAGAGCCCAAGTCAATAAGGCAAATGTACCACAGTAGGTTTCCCCCTTCCTTATAAGGGAAGCTGGCCCCATCTCTTGAATCCCAAAAATGGTGCCACTCCCTAAATGACTCCACCCAACCTGATTTTTACTAAAGACATTGTCAATCTGGGAAATCATAAAACAAACAAAAGCAATCTCGTTTTTACTAGTTCAGTCAGGCAATATACAACTACTAGTTTGATGGAATGTTTGAATTTTTTTAGGAAGTGCAAACAAGTTCTTGTTCATCTCTCAAGCTCCAAATCCTCTTCTCTGTTGTTTTCATCTCCCTCTGGGGGAAAATCCGATGTACTAAACAAAGCAAGTGCTGTTTCATTATTTAAAGGTTTTGTAGGCCTGTGCCAGTATATTGTCAAAAGAATTTGACTCCATCGTATCCACATATAAATTAAAAATGTAATGGTGGTTTGTGTTTGTACAGTGGTTGGTGGTTTGTTTTGTTTTGAAGAAAGTTTTGGTGACAGAACTCCTGTTAATGAAGGTGGTAATCTCTACTGTATGAAAGTAGTGTTGATACCCTTTGCAACTTATTTAAAATGAAAATACGTGCTCTGCTATAAATCTGTAATGCTCATTCTGTTCACCTCAAGTTCTGTAAACTAGTCTTGCTCTCAGTCACCATGTATGGTCCTACCATGATTCATTACATTGAAATGATGCACCAATTCAATTTTATCTGCCTTTAGGTTCATTCCCCAGTATTCAGTTTGAATTACGGGAGTAGCCTTTCTGTTTTGCATTATCCATCGTATTATAGGTTCCCTATAGGATTTGATGTGCATATGGAGCTCCAACCCTAAGAGCTACTAAGTCAAAGTTATTGGGGGCTGCAATATAAGAGGAGCCAAGGACAGCTGTAGGAAAGAAGGCCATCCCAGCCTTGGGGCCGGGTCATGGTAAAGTGTGCTACTAAAGTGAACTACTAAAGTGATCTACTGAGTTCTGTGAGCACAGAGGATCCCTGTAGTGCTATGCATTGTAGCCAGTAAGAACAACAAAAGAGACTACTATTGCACAGCTCCATTTCAGTTCAGTGAGTCTTTTCCCCTTTGCTCTTCTTGTCAATGGAAGACCTATCAGTAGGTGGGTTTATGACAAGGAGCTCTTTTTCATACAATATCTTTGTTGTATTACCATGTGAGATATTTCCAATCATTTCCCCAGCCATCCAGATCAGCTTTTCCTTTGCAGTTGTTTTTTTTAAAACTAGAAATCTGTCATTCACTGCTGTTTCCCCCGGTGTGAGCTTTTTGTTATTTTTGTGGTTGATTTAATCATTATGAATAAGTCAACTTTGCACACCCATGCCCAATAAAGCAGGTGTCCCCAACCTGGTGCCTTCCAGGTGACTTGGACTAAAATGTGCATCATCCTTCTTATCAGCTTCACGTGGCATGCCAGCTACAGCGTCCTCTGGATGGAGATAACCTAGCCATGGTAGTCAGTGCACTGCTGACCTCAAGACTGGATTACTGCAATGTGCTCTGTGTGGGGCTACCCTTGGACCTCCACCAGAAGCTCCAGCTAGGGTAGAATGCAGCAGTTAGACTTCTGATAGGAAGAAATGGCAGACAGCGTACAACCCCTTTCTAAATCACCTGTACTGACTGCCAGCAGGCTACCAATCCAGGTTCAAGGTTCTCATATTAACAGTTTAGGTCCAGCCCTTATATTCCAGCTTGATCACTGAGAACACCCAGAGGAGAACTCTTAGTTGTTACAGAGGCCCAAGTGTCCTCAACCAGGTCATGCAATTAGTGTTGCCTGTCTCATGCTATGGAATGCTCTTCCAGGGGAGATTTTTGCAGGCACATTCTCTATTTTATGCCAAAAGTCAGGTTAAATTTTGTTAATGATTCTTTTGTATTGTTTTGATGGTACGTTATGTTTCATTGTATTTGTACATTTTGTTGTACACTGCCTTGTTTTTTTACATGAGATGGCAGTACATCAATACTTTTCTAAGTAATAAACAGATATCTGACCATTGGCCATGCAGCCTGGGGATGGTGGGAGTTGTAGTTCAAAAATATATGGAGTGCATCAGGGTGGGACATGCTGGTGCAAAGCATGATAGAAAACTCTTGCACACTATAACAGTTTTGCTTTGGAGATACAGTTGATAAATACAGTCACACTTTTCAAACATTACTTTTAAATCTTCGGTCCTCATTGCAGTTCCCCTCCCCCCTGACCGCTTGCAGCTTTAATGCATGTAAAGTGTACCTTGTTTTGTTTTTGTTTTGTTTTACAGATTTTTTAATTTTTTTAATTTCTTATTATAGCAGTACATTAATACTGCCAATAATATACAGATAATAAATTAATAATATAAACAGGAGCAAGAGATAACAGAAACTGCAACTAAACATCATCTTCATTTTTCATTTATATTTGAAGAAATGAATAAGTGTTCTAGGCTGATAGTGTAAAAAATGTACAGTTGCTGTCAAATTATGATGGTTCTATATTCCACTAGGAATGCTTTTATCTTGATAATTGTAGAAGGTTCATTGAAAATGAGAAACAAGAAGCATATTTATACTTTCCAACACTACCTTCATAAAAATTTCATTTGTAGTTTCTTACCCTCCTCCCAATATAAATTCATGTGCTTTTCCATGGACGATCTAGGGCAGGGGTCTGCAACCCGCGGCTCCAGAGCCGCATGTGGCTCTTTTATGCCTTTGCCGTGGCTCCGGGGCAGATACTAGCGAGTGGAGGAGGCGCACTGTGCGCCCCAACACTCCCCACTGTGGTGGGCGCTGTACTGGCTGTGACGTTGCATGGGGGCGGTGTGTGCGTTAGTCACGCACCGTCCCGACGTCACCTTCCCGTCCACCCGCCCGCTACATTGTAAGGGCCATGTACGCTGGTCACTGCATTGAAGGGGAACGAAGAACACACACTCAAAAAGGTAACTTGTTAATTTAACATTTATTTCTATGAGGAGGAGTAATTCTGAGGAGTCAAACAAAGAAATAATTAAAAAGTGACAAAAAAGTTATTTTTATAATGACGAGTTTTGCGGCTCCCAGTTTTGTTTTTCTTCAGAAACGGGTCCAAGAGGCTCTTTTTGTCTTAAAGGTTGCAGACACCTGATCTAGGGCATACAACAAGGAGACAGAATGACATAATATCTAGTAAAAGGTAAAGGTACCCCTGCCCGTACGGGCCAGTCTTGACAGACTCTAGGGTTGTGCGCCCATCTCACTTAAGAGGCCGGGGGCCAGCGCTGTCCGGAGACACTTCCGGGTCACGTGGCCAGCGTGACAAAGCTGCATCTGGCGAGCCAGCGCAGCACACGGAAACGCCATTTACCTTCCCGCCAGTAAGCGGTCCCTATTTATCTACTTGCACCCGAGGGTGCTTTCGAACTGCTAGGTTGGCAGGCGCTGGGACCGAGCAACGGGAGCGCACCCCGCCGCAGGGATTCGAACCGCCGACCTTTCGATCGGCAAGTCCTAGGCACTGAGGCTTTAACCCACAGCGCCACCCGCGTCCCATAATATCTAGTAGTTTGGTACTAAAAATGAAATGTTGTTGCTACATCTCTGGCTACAATCTTGTGTATTTACTTTTAACAGATTTGGAAAGCTCACCTGAGACCTCTTGAGTTTCCCATTCTTGGCTCCAGCCTCACAGCAACCCGATTAAAAGAAACTTCTAATAAGCTACAGTCTTTCAGAATGTGGCTCAGACCTGCTTGCTCTCTCATCTCTTGACTTTGCCTAGCTTTGCCTTGCATCCTTGAATTTGAATCCCTTCACTGTTTGCTGGTGTTCTCCTCTAGGGATGTGTGAATCTGCCAATTTTGGTTTCAGATTCTCATTTTCCCAATCGTAAATTCAGTTCTCCACATATTCACCTTTGACAATGATGATAGTGATGATAACCTCATGAAAATTCATCAACAAATTTCTCCTAATATATAGTTTTTTGTATGCTATTTTGCCTAATACACATTTTCACAAAACATTTTTTTCCTAATACTGTATGATGAGTTATGTATGTTGCTTTCTCTAATATATGCATTTTAAAGCATTTTTTTAAAAAACCTTATATGCATCATTGTACATATGACTTTGCTGGATATTGCATTGCAAAACTGGCAGAAGTATATTGTGTATTGTTAGAGAAAGTGTAAGTTAGGTAGGTTCACTTTTAAATGGAAAGTGAATTGAATTTCTCCCCATTCCATCATTCTGTTTCATGCTCAGGGGCATTGCTAGATATTAAAGGCACCAGCTCATAGGACAAATCTGCATAAATGTGTAGAGTGCCTCTGTGGAAATTAAGGTGCGGGTGGAAGCTGCAGTCTCACTGGCACTGCACTTCTGCAGCATGCCCAGCTGACCTGAAAGCAAAGTAAAACATTATTTTTCAATTCCCAAAAAAAGCAGAGAAGAGGGAAGAGATCTGAGGCTGGTGCATAAAAGACTCAGAGAGGTCAGGCTCTCTGGGCATCCCTTTAACAACACCTCTTCTGATGCCCTTAACATTCTTTCCCCCCCTTGATCTAGCGATGGCATTCAACTCTTTCTCCTGGCTTGCTGAGCCGCTCTGCATATGCATTCCCAGTGCACAGATGAAGACATCCCCAAAGAAACCCTGCATTTACAGAAGTTCTGTGTGAGAAAATTTGGCTCAAGTTAATCGGCCGTTGGGATAGTATGGATGGAAGACACTTTAAAAATTAGTCCATATTCCTCTCCCCGACTGTTTTTGAGTTATCTTTCAAAGATAAGTACATCCGACATTTTTTTAAAAAAAAACAAAACACCAAACTGCAGCAATATTTCATTTTATTGAGCTTGAAGCAGTTGTCACTGTGCATGAACTGTGAAATTGGCATTTCTGAGCCCGGTGCTGGAGGTGGTCTTCATCATGACAAGTGATGTCAATTGTGACAGCAGCAGTGATAAATCTCTATGGAAGCAACAGTAAATAACTTCCATTCTAATATTGATTTAACTGACAGAATGGAAGACTGTCTTCATTACTTGAAAGTTAAGTCTTCCTTGTTTCTATTATGGTGAAACTAGAATGTGTACAGGATTTCCACAAGTTGAGCTGTGAGTGCAGGTGCACAGGCTGTGCCTGGAACACTGCCAAGGGAGGGTGCGAATGGTCCTTCCCTGGCAGAAGGAATTAAAAAAGAATGAAGCCCTCTTAAAGGTGGGGACTGGGGTGTCATGTGTTCATAGAACTTAAGGTTGAGGGCATCATCTCAGTGGCAGGCTCTGACCCCTGCCCTACACACATTCTAACACATTTCTGCAATATACCCATGTGTCCATAGAATCATAGAATTGAAGAGTTGGAAGAGACCCCAAGAGCACTAATTTCTTTTGCTGCTGCATCCCACTGTTGACTCATGTTAAGCTTGTCGTCTACTAAGACCCCTCGTAAACCCCTAGTAGACAACAAAAAGGCAACATATCAATGAGGCCAAATTAGAAAAATGTATGCTAGAGTAAAATCCAGGTATACGTCTCAAAATGTGCGTAGTCCTACCTGAACAAATGACAATATAGTGATTCTGCTTCCCAGAACCAGGGAGAAGAAACTATTACAGCTACACTTTGCTAGTTCTGGACAGTCTCTGAACTGAGCATAAGAACACCACCAGTTTACAAAATCCAATCTTCAATAAGATGCACCAGAAAGGGTCTGGATGTTTGAAGACTACAACCATTTAATTATTAGCCAGACATTCCTTGTATATTATCCCCTTTATCTTTTGGGCACCTAACTCGGGCATAAACCTTATTTCTTCACTTGCATCTGTGCCCCACTCACACAGAAAATCAGCAACTCATGTCATTTATATATGTTCTGTGTATTGGTTCTAAAGGATGCAGCTCATGTCAAAAGGGATCTAACGAATAATGGTTCTGCAATCGGCTGCTACTCATGGGGAAGGAAGCAAAAAAATCTAACTGGTGCAATAAATAGAGGTTGTGGAGGAGACCACTGCCTGTTGGCCTTCTCAGACACACCAGTTCCACCGTATTATCACTGCCTATTGACTGAAACACCAGCAGTTATTGGGGTGGTGGGTTGAGGACCGGTTATCTGAAACTGCAGTAAAATGATTTATTTTAACATTTATTTTAAAACCCAGGAGACAAAGGCAGCTAGCTATATTTTATCTAATTTAGGATAGCATTGGAGCTGCAATATATTAAGTCAGGACACTGGTCCCTTTCCTCTATATTGCCCACAATGCCTAGCAATGGCTCTCAGGGATTTGAGATCAAAGGCTAAGGCTGGGAAATGATGGCAGGGATTGATCCTGGACCCTTCTGCATACAAATCACATGCTCTCCCTCTGTGCTATGACCCATTGCATTTCATTGTGCTATTGACTGCAACCTATGTACATGACCCATAGCTCAACTGCAGAAAGCAGGGCTGCAGGATGCCATCAGAATCTGGGCACACCACACAGTTTAGCTATTTTACATGAGATGACCAGACAATATAACTGCTGTGAGTATGTCAACCCCTTCACCAATTTCTGTTCAATAAGTAACATCTGAATAGACCTATTCACCCTGCAAAGATTATTCTCCGTAAACTTTATGGCATAAACAATTTTCAAATCTGGAGATATATTTTCTGGTTGGCTTGTTCCTCTCTGGATGAAAATTTCCTTTTTTGAGTTCGATTCGCTTCCCAACCCTCAGCCCATTAAAGCAAGCACAATAGATGCTTGTACCAATACTCCCAGGAATGTTGTGGTCATCTGTGCTTGCAAATGTGTTGGTGTCATTTGCATAAAGTTGGTAAAAAAAAAACCCAACAACATTTAGTGGGAAGAATGCCTGTCCTGAGCAAACATGCCAACAGGAAAAGAAATCAAACACAGCACTGTATGTACCTGTAAGGCTGTTTCACAAGGGTAGATTATTCACGTGGCTCCAAGAGGTAGGAACCTCATAGCTTTCTTCTCATAAATCCTGCTAACTTTTGTGGGTGGTTTGGCAAAGGCCTTTTAAAAGCACAATGTCCCACTAAATAAATGGTCTAGTGAGTAGCACTGCAGCACTCCAGAAAGTTCTCTTTCCCAAAGAGAAGAATCTCTGTTTGATTTCTCAAATTCCTTCACAACCATCCACCTCTCTAATCCCTGGTCAAACAAGGCATTTTAAATACCTTCTAGAGGCTCAAGTTC